TGTCTACAGAATTAAAGAGAAAGTATTAGCACCAAAAAAATGAAGCAACTTAAACAACTTGCATTGAAAGAAAGGTTTAATAAGGTAAACAAATAAATATTAAGCTTTTTTTTTTTTTTTTTTTTTTTTTGTAAATTTTGATACCCTTTAGATCATAAATATCTCATTATTTCATAAATCACAATTTCGTATTTTTAATTTTATAATTTCTACATGCCATCTTGCTAGATTTAAGCTGATGATCTAATATCCGGAAACATCCCAAATTCAGAGATTTCGGGCTTTCTACCATATAATATTCTATCTTGGAATAGCAGGAATAATTTATGCTTCTGCAAATGGTAAATTATGGAATCAGGGTTTGTACGGTCCTTAAGAGTCCTTAGATTTTTTGGAATCGATTTTTGGTCCTTAAAAATCCTTAATTTTGGCCAAAATTAGCAGAAAGTCCTTAATTTTAATCATCTGAAATTTCTGTCTGTTTTTACAACTGCCATTTTGAGTGTGAATAGCATTTTGGAGGAATATTTTTAGTGATTCACTGACGTATCTTTTGAATGGGTTTATGGGTGATAATTTGTTTCTATTTCTAATATCAGAGTGAGGGATACTCGAGGTTCTAAGCAAGAAGTGAAACATAAGCATAGCAAAATTCATTTTTTTTTTATTTCCCCCCCCCCTAATAAAGAGCTCTTAAACAACTTTTTGCTTTTGGGGGTGTGAATTCTTTTATTAAATGGTTCTAAATTTGGTGACTTATCAACATTTTGGCGATTTTAAGATCAGCTTCTATAGAAAATTTTTAATTCCGAGATCTGAGAATTTTTCGACGATTTTTTTTTAAAACATCGTAGCATTGATAAATTTCATTAAAATAATGGTAATATTTTGAAATTATATTTAAAAAATAACATTAAAAACATTTTTATTTTTCGTTGTCATATTATAAAGTTTCATTTTGGTAACTTATTATACAATATTTTGAATCTGAAAAATAAACAAGGTATAATACTATAAAGCACAATTTTTTTCGTAGTAAGAGTTTTTTTCATGTAATTGTCTCAGAGTATTTAGAATTCTTAGAATACGCATCAGTTTTTCTCCATAAAATTAATTTTACACTTTTTCCCTCCCTTTTTTTCCCAAACTATTTCTGACCTTTTGCTGTTACAAAATTGGTAGGGATAATTTTTTTTTTTAGGATTTTAAACATTGCATCTTGGAAAGTTTAGAAGGATTTGAAGGCAAGATTTATAGAGTCACGATTCTAGAAGATTCGAGAAATATGTGACAAAATGAAAAATGTCTCCATGGTATCAACACGTAATTGATGTATTTTACAGAAAGTTTGCAATGAATTTCCTTACTTTTTGGAGAACGTCTGGAAGAACAATGAAAACATAATATTTGAATGTTTTACTTCTGATACTAGAATCTTAACATGTTTATCTTCCTTTATTTTCTCTACTTTTCACTAGACACAAGCATGGAAAATATCAAAAATGCTTCATATCTTATCACATGGGTAGGCCTTTAGGTAGATTGCCCTCGTATGCTTTGCCATAAATAATCCAATCCACTGTGGTCACTAGATAAAATACAAAAATGTAAAAATTCAAGTAAAACGTATTCTTTGCATCTAGTGAGACTTAAAATAATACAAAACAACTTATCACCTCTGTTGCTTTAATGGCTTATTGGAACCTTAAAGTATATTAACTGGGTTGTAACCCCTGGAACTTTACACAAGGCTATGACACTAACTGCATCAAAAAGAGCCTGACTGACTTTCAACACTTGCCAACCATGCATACATCAGGCCTTTCAGGTTTGTTCGAATCAGCATGTGTCTCTCTAGCTTAGCAGCAGCGATGACAACATTCAGTCTTTTGTTATGAATCATGCTGATTATGATCTTACTTCTTATTTTAACTTATGCTGTTTGACAAAATCTAAATGCTATTTACGAAACCAAGTATGTGACAAAATGAGGCATTAAAAAAAAATCAACATAAAGCTAATTATTAGTAAAACGTAAATGTTACTTATCTTCTTTCAAATATGCCCAACTATTGTAAGTGTAAAATATTTAATTCTACTTGATAAATTGCATAAAGTTTATTTTATTCTCAAACTTATTAATAATTATATTAATTAATTCATGTTTAGTAATAATGCATACCACATAGGGATCTATTTTATTTTTAGAGTGGTATTACAAAAGTGAAATTCAGGCATAGATAATATTTTTAATTAAATTTATTCAGTTCCCGTTTGCTCATAGGTCCTTAATTTTTTTCATTAATGATTCTTAAAAGTAATTAATTTCCGTGTGCAGAAATGTGTATGAACCCTGGGAATTGGTCTATCATTAGTCCAAAGGGGCAATTTGCCCAGAAGGACTATTCGTTTCGTTTTGCATTGATTCACTATTTTAATTGTTGCCACCAAATGATAGAGCCCTGTATTATATTTAAAGAAATTAAATAATGAAGAATCTGCATAAATATATGCATGTTTCTTACATTGTGATAAAACAATGTTACCTAGAGCCATCAATTTTTGAATAACATACATTTCCACCTGAATATGGGCATCTTGAAGCCCAAATTTGAAATTTGTTTTTATTTTCTATTTCATACTTTGTAAAACTATTATATTAAGCACTTTTGACTAACATTCTTTTCTACTCTGTTTTGATTTTCTTTTACAGTTTGTGTGAAAATTGAAATGTTTAATATCTAGCATTCAACACAGTTGAATACTTACTTCCAACCTTCTTGAGATGGTACATTTAAACCATCTTTATTGTGTTCACTAAATTTGACTTGGGCAAGTTGGTGATTTCAAAAATAACTTTGTGACTTGAGTAACAAACTCAATAACATTTCAAATACTTAAATCTTTGGCCTATAAATGAAGTATATTTGCTTAACAGCTGTAAAATATAAGTTTAGAATTTGTTTCCTAATTCTTTTCTTGTTTTTACCACATTTGATGCATTTTTGGTTACAAAGCTATCAATTTTATATTTAAATTTATTTTTAGGTTTTCTACTGGTATCAGTGACATGTACAAGTAAATTTTCACTTTTACATAGTATTAACAATATATGGAATATTATACAGTCAAAAGTCGTTAATTTGGACACCCATAATCCGGAAATCAAAGCTACAAACTTTCTGCGCATGTTCCGCGTTGATGCATGCAAGTAAGACCTTTACGGCTGCGAATATGCATGTACGCATGCGCATAATATGTTTACACATGCGCATTTAATGTATAATGGACGGTATAAGCTAAGCTAAAATTATGTAATTCAGTTAATGTTGCAGATTGTGTTGTTCCTTAATCTTTGAATTGGATCCGGCTTATTATTTTTTGCAGACTGTTAGAGCAATTTTATAAAAGTAAGCTTGAACTTTCGATTATGTCAAATAGAATTTCCGATATATATTTACTAATATGTAAAGGATCTACAAAGCGAACGTGTGTTTCGATGTCCATTAAACAAAAAGTGGAATTACTGCAAAAATTGGATAAAGGAATAATCCTTTGTTTATCTAACCATTCCGAAATCTGTTTATCAATTTCATGCTGCTCTGCGGGCGGGGAGGGGGGGACGCTGCAGCGCGCAATGAATTGGAAGTTGATCTATCAGCACTATCGTTATCTTCAGGGCAGATGTTTTTATTTTATTTGGCTTATAATTCCTTACTAAATCTAGTATTTCATCTCAATGTACTCCGTCTTTGATATGATTTAAATCAAATTCTTCGTCATTATATTTCACTTCCGATAGTGAAGAAAGTGGCACAGAGGTTATTGAAAACGAAAAAAATTTCGATTGACAAATTAGTCGGTATTCTCGACACGGCAATTATAGGACTTCAACAGCAGAACTTTGTAACTGAACAAGAAATTATGTCTGTTTATAGAATTAAAGAGAAAGTATTATCATATAAAACGAAGCAACTTAAACAACTTACATTGAAAGAAATGTTTAATAAAGTAAACAAATAAATATTAAGTTTTTTTTTTTTTTTTTGTAAATTTCGATACCCTTTAGATCATAAATACTTCATTATTTCATAAATTGCGGTTTCATATTTTTAATTTTATAATTTTTGCATGCCATCTTACCAGATTTAAACTAATGATCTATAATCCGGAATCGCCGAAGTCCCGACGAGTCTGGATTAACGACTTTTGACTGTACTAAATATAAAGTTTTATCTGTTATACAGTTTTCTATTGTACAGAGATAAATGGCTGTTTGTAGATATTAGATGAACCGTCTAGCATCATAATATGGTTTGATTAACTAAATTTACTGCATCTCTATTTGTTCTTCATATAGATTGTTTAATAATTTACCACTTAAGTTATTTTTAAATGGAGGCTCATATCCAGGATACAGCATCTCTATTCATTTTATGATCTGATGTTTTCGATTTTTTGAAATGATGCATTTGTAGCATAAAAAGATACCTGCTTTAAAGATGGTATTACTATTTATACACATCATCAGATTTACACCTGAGACTAGATGAACATGGGATTGAGGCATTGTACTAATATGGCTTGTTAAAAATATTTTAAACAGTTTTACTTCTTTAAAAAGTTTTACTTTTTTTACTTTTTTTTATTGAATAACTAATCTCTTTAAAAACATTACAAATTACCTTAATCTTTGTTTTAGTATATTTCCTATCATTTTAAAGAAATGGAAGAATATCTAATTTAAAAAAAAGTTTTTTTATTCATTAATTATTGTGATTTAAATCATTCATTTTAGTCATTTAATTAAAACTATTGACATCATGTTTAGGATGATAGATAATCAAAATTTCACAGCATTATCATGGCAGGTATCAAAATAGTAATAATAGATTTTCATATTAAAGAAAAACTTTTGATTTTACCTTATTTTAACATTATTTTCTTATTTATATTATCATAAAATTGCCTTTTCCTCTTCCCTTTTTATACCAACACAGCTGTCAACAAAACTTGATTGCCAAGGCATGGAAATAAGATTAGATTCTGTTGAAAATGAAGAAAACTTTTCTAGCTGTAAATCAGTTTTTGAAGAAAACACCTCAAATCAGGTAAAATAATTTTGCTAGCATATTATTTAATTTTCATATAATCTAAACAACTAATTTATCCACAGTGTACTAAATGTGTGTATAAAAATTTCTTTCATTAATCATTTCATATATTGTTTTGATGTTGAGGAAAAAAAAATATCTTGGAATCTTTTAAATGTAGGTAATAAAAAATAACAAGCTTTCATTTCATATAAAAATGAGCTGTCTGAAAAATAGTCATAGTTTTCACCATGCATTTATAGTGCTGTGGTATACCATCTGTTTCTCTAAGGAGTAACATGTTAATCAAGTCATAGATTTGATGCTTAGTGATCATTTTTTAATAATCAGATATATTAAACAAGTTCCTAGTATCATTTAGATTATGTCTAACAATTCTGAAAGATCGTTTAAGCTTATCAGAAACATGATATTAAATGATACAGAAGTAATTCAGCAATCACGTTAAAGGCACTCAAAGGGTGAAGCAATATGTAAAAGACCATGTTAAAGTCAAAGTAATGTTGACTATTTTCTTCGATTGTCATGCTTTGTGCATTATGAATTTCTGTGAACTGGCCAAAGTGTTAATTAAGAATATAATTTGACGGTTTTGCAGCAATTCCTAGAAAACAATTTGAATTGTAGGAAGATAACTTGTAAATTGTGTACCTTGATGAAGCACCTGTTTGTTGTCTTTGTTGTTCATCAATTGTTGGCTAAAAATTTCAACAAATATCGCCCTGCAAGTACTTGTCTAATTTGACATCATGGGATTTTATTTCCTTCTTTCCACAATAAAAATTTTTGCTTCATGGTCATTCTTTTAATCTATTGATGCAATAAAAGAAAAACTGTGAGCATTTTGAAGGGCTTTCATGAAAATAACTACAGAACATGTTTTAAGAATTACTTAAGTTAATTGAAATCTTGTGTTCTGTGGAATTGTTCCCAATACTTTTATAATAGTATGAAATGATTCTTGACAATGAGAAAATCAGAATCTCTGATAAGGAAAAATAAGCTGGTAATGGGTCAAAAGAAAGCATGGAATGTTCCAGTTTTATCAAACTGTATTTTGTGGGATAATAAACAATATTATGTGAAATGATTCCCAATATTTTTTCAGTCATAGTAGTAGGAAATTATTCTTGACAATGGGAAAATCATTATTTTTGATAAGCAAAAATCAGCTCATAATGTGTTAGAAGAATATATGGTAAATTTCAGTTTTGTCAAACTGTATTTTGTGAGGAAATTTGCAGTGCAACATTCTTATAATGATGCAATAAAAGAAAATTAAAGTAAATGCATCTGATTTCTCCATTTTTGTAGAATGTTTTTTCTTTTTGCATCTCATATTGATGAAAAGTTATTATTGTGTGTTTCTTTTAGCTTTTCAATCTTGCATATTACATAAACAAAATTTCAAACCATGCTCTTTGACTCTGTTTGCCCATGTGAGATTTTTTTTAGCAGGGAGATGATGTAGATTTCTATGTAAACGATGAATAATTCATATGTAAATGATACAAAATTGTCTCATCTTTTGTGACTGCTTAATTAGAAAAAAATAATTGCATAAATTATAATAATTAGGTCTGCCATTTCCATTTCTTTCTCTTTTAAAATCATATGTTCCTTATATATGATTTGATTCTTGCAAAGAACAAAATTCAAATGTGATGTTTAGGCAAATAATTGATGAGAATACTCTGTTGACATCTAACGGATATTTTGAGATTTTACACAATCTGCCAATTTCAATAATTTATCATCTTTTACTGAGAATAATATCTTAGAAAAATATGATGTTTTTATCATTAGTGGTTGATGAAAGATGCCTACTGCTTGAAATATCATTATCAATGATAATCTGTCATAATAAAAGAGAGAATTTGTATGTTTATATAGACGGACTGGTCCAGAACTATGAAACTTGAACTACATATTGCACAGATAATGGTGATATTACCCCGAAGGGCTTTCCAAGTTTTGATTCAGATTTCTTTAATTTAATGTTGTAACCCTTTTTTAAAAAGAATTTTTCACATGTCTTTGTTTAATGAACAATTGAAAATGTTTTATTTTTACTGTTTGCATGATAAAGTGGAATAAAGACTTAAGAGGGTTGGACTGATTTTTAGTTCCTTGAGCAAAGTAAAGGAAATATTATAATCTCAAAAAATTTCAGGTCTCGTATCTCAACGAAAATATCCATTTTGACCACACTCAAATCCATTTGAATAATGTTTTTTTGTATAACATCTGTACATATGGACAGAATAAAGGACTGTTTTTCCAAAACAGATTATAAAATGGATTTAGAAGAGTTTTTTTTTTTTTTTTTTTTTTTTTTTTTTTTTTTTTTTTTTTTGGTGTGTGTGTGTGACATCTGTACATACGTTTGTATGTTTCTCATATAACTCAAAAGAGTAGCTATAGAATGTTAAAATTTTGTGTATGGGACTGCTATAACATGCAGTCGTGCACCTCCCTTTTGCTGCAATCGGCAAATACACCAAACTGATATATATATATATGTTGCTAGCAAAGTTTGAAATCTGGCATTCTATAAAATACCTAGGCATTGTATATAATGCCTAAAGCTAGCCGGCAATGTATGAAATGATTCATATTTCACACATTTCCTAGGCATTCTATAGAATGACAAACTGGCAAAATACGAAATACAGTTCCGATCCGTTTTAAAAAACCATACTACTTACCAGAACTTAATAAACAATGTAAAAAAGCCAGAATGACTACTACGAAAGAACCACGGAACTACTGACTGCTGAATTGCTAGGATGTGATGTTTGTGGAAAACAAAAGTACATTCATTTATCCTGTTAAAGAAAGGGTCAGTACTATACAGTAATACGTCATGGATGCTGAGTTTATTACTTCATGAAAACTCATTTGAGTACAGGACATGGATGGTATGACAGAATGTTGAAAGAACTTTCAACCAAATACAAAAATGTTACACGTAATGATATTGAACCGACCACTTTTGTGAGCCCTGCCAGAAAAATTAAAAAGAGCATTGTTGTGAAACTTGTGATTGTTTCTAAATTTAATTTCTGTTGTCAAGTAGATCTTACCGATTCCCAGTCTCAGCAAGATCGAAAATACAAATTTATTATGTTGTATCAAGACCATCTCACTATCCTTTTTTACTTCCTTGTATGAAGTAAAAAGGAAGTATTGTAATCCTGAAAAATTTCAGGCAGCATATTTCAACAAAAATATCCATTTTGACCGCTATCGAATGCAATTTAATGATGTTTTTGCATGACATCTGTATGTAAGGACAGAATAAAAAACTCTTTTCCTACAAAAAAATTATAAAACTGCTTTAAAATGAATTCTGAAAAGAATTTTTCATAGCGTCTGTACGAATGTACGTATCTTGTATAATTCAAAAACGAGTAGCCTCAGAACGTTAAAATTTTGTATATAGGATTGCTATAACATGTAGATGTGCACCTCATATTTTGGTTGCAATCGGCCGCACCAAACATATATAAATATATTTTATATATATATATATATATATATATATATCTACTCTGTAACCTGGCTCATTAATCTCAGTATCTTTACTCTTATAGGTTTGTAAATGGTACATTTCTTGCTTTAAAAATGATTGAATTATGTTGTTCTTATCTTCTGGTTAAGGTTTTTATGCCTTTCGTAAATCTGGAAGCAATATTTGTACAGTTATCAACAATTTAAAAGCTGTTTAAGTGCGGTTAAGCCTTAAGTTTTAAAGAACATGGCGGACATATTTGTTTACATTTGAAACTGCAAAATACAGTACAAAGTCCGTAATCCGAACTCGTCGGGACTTCGGTGATTCCGGATTATAGATCATCAGTTTAAGTCTGGTAAGATGACGTGCAGAAATTATATAATTAAAAATATGAAACCGTAATTTATGAAATATAGATCAATTATGATCTAAAAGGTATTAAAATTTTTTTTAAAAAAAAGCTTAATATTTATTTGTTTACTTTATTAAACATTTCTTTCAATATAAGTTGTGTAAGTTGCTTCGTTTTTTGTGCTAATACTTTCTCTTTAATTCTATAAACAGACAAAATTTCTTGTTCAATTACAAAGTTCTACTGTTCAAGTCCTGCATTTGCTGTGTCAAGAATACAGACTAACTTGTCAATCAAAATTTTTTCATTTTCAATAACCTCTCTGTCAATTGAAAGCGGTATTTTCTGGATCTAGAACCATAAAACAGATTTCACCGTCCGTTAATTGATTGATGCTTGGGGCATTGTCTCGTCGCAATGAAGAATTTCTGTTATATTATCTTCATTTATTACCGCTTCTCCACATTTCTTTACAAAATTCAATAACTGGAAAATTTCACCTTTAGTTTGCTATGTCCGAAAATTTTCAAATTCGTGGCTGTCATTTTCATCGTCCTCACCATGAAATATGGTAGCTGGCCATAAATTATGCCAAGCATTTGTTCACGTATCAGGAGACACATCCTCCCAATGTGCATGCATAAAACATACAAAAAAAATGTTTGTGCCTTTGAGGTCTGTATTATAGATCATTCCGGATAATGAACGTCCGGATTACGGACTTAGTAGATTTGTTGCCAATCTAGAAAGACTAAGCTTTGCAACAACAAAGGTAATGCCTTTATTTGTTATTGCGAATTAAATTATGCTTAATGCTTTCTGGAATTTTTTCGAAGAAATAAATGTTTAAGATTTACTTCTTAATTTTTAATACAGATATTTTGAGTTTTTATGTATTTTTGCCTTGTCGCGAAGTGAGAACTGAATTAATTGAATAAGAAATACTAAATGGTCTGTGAAAAACTGTTTCTTTCTTTCTTTTTTTTTTTTTTTTTTTTTTTTTTTTTGCTTAATTTCTTTTATACATTGTTCTAGCTTTATTATAGTATTTGAATAGAACATGTGGCAACGATTAGATAATTCTTCAAATGATATGAATCTTGTGTATTTTGAGTTATAATATTAACGAAATATAATACTGTTAAGTGAACCTAGCGCCAGAGTGTCGCTATGGTAAACAAATAATAGTGAATTTTAAAGAGTGCATATATTCTATTGTGGTTTATGCGCTATCGACGAAGTAGATTTAATTCAATCCTATAAGTTTAAATGAAATGCAAGAAAAACTGCGTATAATTTAATATTCCATATAAAGAAGTCATGCGGTTTACACATCAGATTTTTTCTTTTACATATTTCGAATAACAGTTTTTAATGGCACTCTTTCATTAATCTTTCAAAATAACATTTTATTTTTGAGGAATGAACATCTTTTAAATAATAGCTTTATCATAATACTTTTTTCATACTTTGTTTAAAAAGCATTTGTCATTCTAGAGAATGCCTAGGCATTCTAGAATGCTGGCGTTTATAGAATTCTATAGAATATCAGCACTTTGCCAGTAATATATATAAATATACTGTTCCCCTGTTACCCGGTTTAGTGAGCTCAATACTTTTATTCTTATATGTTTGTAAATTGCATTTTTTTTTTTTTTTTTTTTTGCTTTAAAAGTGGTTGAATTATGTTGTTCTTATGTTCCTGTTAAGGTTTTTAATTAATCAACAGTTTAAAAGTGATGCTAATGAAGCCACCATTTATTTACAATTGAAACACTTAGAATAGTGAATTAAGTCAATTGATGAACGAACTTCAGTATCATTTTGCCAATGGGACCAAAAATTAACTTTCAGTTTTGTGCACCAAAAATTCCTGCTTCCTGCTGACCGAATTGCTTGTTTTTTCCGTAGAAATTTTAATTGTAAAATTTTTTTTAAAACTGTTTTTAATTGTATCCTGTGTTTTAGGTTTTTCTATATTTTAAAATTTTGAATGAAGATTTTTTAGCTTTTATGTATTTTTGACTTGTTGCAAAATGAGAACTGAACTGAAACTTAAACTGTAACAGTAACTTAAACTGTAAACAGGCTGTAAAAACTCTGTCCCCTTTTATATTCGGATACATTAATTATATGATTTCCTACAATTGTGTTTTGAAGATACAAAGTCGCAATTTTAAATATAGATGTATGATGCTAGCATTGAAATCACTGTTACCAGGGAAAATCTTATGATGGAGAAGCATAATTATACATTTAGTGTTTCATTTCATTCTTGCTATTAAGAATCATTTTCCAAGATATGTTTGCCATTTATGTGGCATTTTAAAAGTGCGCTGTTCTTGGCAACATTTCATTTTGGTAGTCTATTTTCTTAATTTTATAAATAACTTTTTTTTATTAATATATTTTTCCCAAGCTAAAAATTGCATTTAATGTTCATTTTTTTTATTATTATCTCATATTTTTGTGATACATTTATTGCATGTGTACAGGTTTATAATAAATTGAATGCACACATCTCCGATGATAGCCTGATATGATTTATTTTATCAAATGAAACACTTGGGAGATCTGGAACATTCCACAAAGATGGTCGTACAACTTTTTACAATATCACAGAGTACTATCACTAGTTGCACTTCAAACTACTATGAATGTTAAACGCGATGGAATGCAAAGTGCATCTAAAGAGAAATTTAACCCGGAGATATCTCAGTACTCTAAACTGATGTTGAACTGGCAACTCGCAACAACAACTCGGAGCAAATGATTAGAACCTTTGTGCTTAAATATACAGGATAGCAGAATGTCTTTCCCTGATTTAAAAAAAAAAAAAAAAAAAAAAAAAAAAAAAAAAAAAAAAAAAAATAACTCTGGAAAATAAAAATGTGAATTTTTTTAATCATTATGCTTCCACATTTCTTTTTGAGCAAGGAGACAGTAACGAACATGTCTACATCCTAATACTCACAAGCACATAAGTTAATTAATTCAAATTCTGACCATTCAAGTATATTATATACATTTCATTTTGTACATTTTAATGTACTTTATTTTCTGTAAATATTTTTCAACTTTTATATTTAATATATTTAATAATTTTTGCAAAGATTGCATTCTCTTTATTATGTTTATAAAGATTACTTTTAATTAACATGCATAAAAGCGAGGGTATCGGGGAACACTTTACTCAAATGAGAAAATGTTACTACCACTCAACCTAGCAATAATATCTCACGATTTAATATATATATATATAAGTTAAACAGAACTGCCACATCCATAATGAATTCTGTGTAGTACCTTAACTTAAATTCATCTCACTTAACATCTAACTGGTTTAAACTCAACTTACCAGTTTGGCATCATAATTCTTACTTGAGTAAAAGACAAAACACCTTTGCATTTATTAATTACTGTTAACTGACTGGGGGGAGGGGTTGTTCCCTTTGAAAAGCTAACCAATTTCCAGTCAATAACAATAATTACTTGGTTTGTTGATTAATTTTTCATTTTAAAATTTTCAATTTCAATTTTTCCATACTTCATATTTGATGTTTCTTTTAAAAAAAATTTCAAGATTCATTTTTAGATGCTTCTAAGTTACTTCATTCAACTTAAAAAAAAAAAAAAAAAAAAATTCAGGACTTGTTTTTAAATGCTTCTAAGTTACTTCATTCAACTAAAATTCTACTAACTTTCTCAAAGGAGATAATCCATTAATAAATTAATTGTTATATATATTTACAGTATAAATGACAGTGCCAAGGAATAGTTGGTAATGTAATGGTGACACTGAAATAAAAAAAAGGCTAAGTGTATTTTGTGATATCATGAAACTAAACTTCCAATTAACAGCAGTTTAGAATTTCATATTATGGTTGTCCTTCGGAATTTAGAGCATCACGAATGTGTAGGGTAAGTTTCAAAGAAACTGGTAACATCAGATACCTTTCCAAGAAGTGGTAGGTGTACAGTGAATAATGACGTTGTTTACTATGTCAGAAAACGAGCAAAGGACATGTTAAGGATCGAATATTTGTCATACCAGTTTGTGAAGTCGTACAATAGTTTGAAGGCCAGAATAAGAGATGATGCGTCAAGTGTTACTGAGTGAATGCTGATATGTGACAAAAATTGGAATACGGCGTACAAATTCAGTTAAAGATGACATTGGTTGATATGACTTCCTGTGTTTAAATAAGCACCATTTAATATAAAATATATTTTATTTCACACACAGAAATATGATTCGTACTGGGAGCATTGTATAGCTATCTTTTTCCTCCCATTGGCACCCGCCAAAGGAGACTCTGAGGTGAGAGAGAAGTTGTGACGTAAAACATAATGTCTCAATCACATTATGTTTCGGCTATGCGGGACGTGACCTCAAAAGGACAATTCTCAGAACCCGCACAATTTCAGAAAACCCACTTAGCTAGGTTACCATTTTCACTTGCTACAAAGACTTGAATGCCAAACACTAATTGATTATCACCCAGATTGGGATCATGTGATGCTTCAGAAGAACTATGGTCTTCTTCTGAAGTTGATCTTGGTTGTCTGTACCCAGGACAGAGGTCTAGCCGAGACATTTTCGGTTAGGTTAGAAAAAATCCCGTGTAGCCGCAACAGCCCTTTCGTAGCTAGGCGGGATTTCGCTTCAGGCAGGGCTCTTTTTTCTAGGAATCCTCTCATTTAAACCAGTGCTACCAGAATTTGTTTCTTAGAAAAGTCCCGTCTAGCAGGTACTGTAGCCAAGTGTGATAACCTTTTTACACATGAAGTGTCTAGTCTTACCAATCTTCAAGCTATAAAGGAGGCATACTTTGAAATTTATGAATGTTGTACTATTCTTAATAAACGTAATTGTTACAGGTACTATTTTCCAAAAAAAACAATATATACCACATCTATTGTCATAATAGTTTTCATGCTATGAATTTTTGCAATCAGGAAAAAATGTTTTACTCATCCTGTATAGATGTGTTATTTTAGACCCTATGTACCTCTCTATGCGGTAGCAATAAATGGTACATGCATATTACAAGGTGATAATGCTCATCTGCATTGAATTGGAATTATTGAACAATACTGACAGCTAATGTTATATTCATTTATTGAGAATCTGCCCTTTAGGAATGTGTTAAACCTTTCAAGAGATACAGTGTACCTCATAAAATATAGCAGAATTATGTATTTTAAAACACTGTTATTTGATGTAATTTATTTTTTCATTTGTATCACAGTTATAACTATTTATATCATCTAATAATTTTCTTTGTATTTTACAGCATCTAGTAGTCTCTCATACACTTCAGGCCATAGATGAATGTGCCTTTTCAACTATACCAACATATATGATTTCACCACTGGTATTCAGAGTGTATCCTTTTAAATAATGTTACATTAAAAATCATTAAATTCAATTTTGTTTAAGTATAAATAATATTTCTATTTTTGAGCAATGTAGAAAGTGATGCATTTTTCGTAGATAAAAATTTACTTATAATTTATGTCATTTAAATATACACCATACCCACAAAAGGCCGTACTTTATTTTTACAGCTGTTTGTCGAAAACATGTGCTTTCAATTAGAAAAATGTTTTAAATGACACAAATATTCATGTTATGGCATTTTTTAACTTAAAGAAAATAAGTTTGTAAAAAATTCGAAATCTGTCTTTTTGTACCCTCCTTTAGTCTTTAGATTTAGGAATATTGTATACTCTCTATAAAAAATAACACCCAAAAAGTTTGACTCCTGTTTTGTATGGGAAAAACTTACTGAGATATTTGATATTAAAATTAGAGATTCTGGTCAGGGATCATACAAATGAAAATTTTGTATTTGAAATACAATATCCAGATATTGTAAAAAAAAATTGAAAAACATATAGAATGCATTGATTTTCATAGTTTTACTGGTCTTTGTGAAATTATATTATGATCAAAGAAATTATGTATGCAGTCATTTTATCCTGTTCTTGTCTCACAGTAATTAACGGATGTATTTTATACAAAAGGTCAGTCTTAAGTAAAATTTCAAATGCTAATGGTATTTTTAAGCTTTGTGACTTTTGAGCTTTGTGTGAGCTTCAAAAACTCTGTGAAAAAAGAGCTTAATACCTAAATGAGGAAGATCAAATAGCATTTTACATCATCCAAAAGAACAGCTGAACAGCATACAGTCAAGCATTTATTTTATGTGAGAAAGGTGGAGTCTCATTGTGCCTGTATAAAGATAGAAATTGCTTTAAAAAATTTCATTCAGTTTAACATGAAATATAATTTTATCTTAATAAAGGGTGTCAAAATCATTAACAAATTCTAGGATTTCAGAAAATTAATTATAGAAAATTTTAAAGCCAAATATCAAATGATTTTAAGTTGAGTTATAACAAATAAAATAAAATGTGTCTTTGAATAGCTTGTAAATTTGGCTCAGATGGATAATGATTCATACATGCATCAAACACTAATTTTGTATAAAAAAAAAAATTAATTATTTTTTGGTTTCTGTTTGAGCCATATGGATTTTAGGGAGAATTTTTTTTCCTTGATATATAAAAATATATTCCGTGGAAAGTTAAAAAATTCATTTAGTTGTCCTCTGGGACCATTAATTTACTTTGATCAGGGTTTGGGTTTAATTTCAACCTCTAATTGCAAAACCTTGATTATCCAGCAGTTTTTAACTTGAAACATAATAGACTTTCTCTGTCTCCTTCACTTACTGCAAGTTTTCTTCTTTTTCAGTAAACAACAAATTGGGGGAAGGGGGAGTTTATTTCTGATATTGCAGAGATTTAAAGAAAATCAATGGAATTATTGACAGCATTTAAGATGAAGTATTTGGGAAATATTTCCAGTAATGAGTGACGGGCTGAAGTGCATCTGTCTAATCATAGAAGAAAAGTATTCTATAGGATACTGAAACATCAGAATCAGTATTACATCTTAAACGGAATATTTAAAGAAATTTCATACAGTTTTACATTCTCTTCATATAAACGTGATAACTACACTACATAAAAGGATTTTGATCATTTTTCCAAGTTTATAATTTTGTTGATATATATGTGTAATGTATTAGTAGTATAAATTGACCTTAATACATATAACAGATGTGTATCTGAGCCTAATTTATGGAATGAAACTTCATTAAAGCTTCTTCAATATATATGCAGAAAAGAGGGGGTAATTATCTATGTGGTGTAAATTTTACTTTCTTCTTAGTTTGTAAAATACATTACAATCTAGTTAATTATATTTCATTTAAAAATTCAATCATAGTTTTATAAGATAGTTTTGTTTAAAGTTTTGCAAATTTAAATAGCTTGTTTTGAATAAAAGCTGCAGGGGATGACCATCTGCAGAAAATAAAGGTAAGTATCTCCTGCTTATTCAGCCTCTTAAGGAGAATAATGCTGAAAATTAAAAAAAAATTTGAATTTGAATCCAACATTTTTCGGTTGCAGTTTGATTATTGAAAATGTAAATAATGTATTTTATGTGTACGAAAATGCAGTAAAATAGATAAAAGTTTGTCTTTATATATATCTTCTATAAAGCATCATTAGATTAAACAGTAGATTATGTGTTATATATTTAAGGTTCTAGCTGTAAAAAAGTAGAAGCAGAAGTACAAATTATCAAGAAAGTAGAGCTTCTTGTTTATTAATATCATATCCAATATGAATTATTTATTATTGAAAATACATCTTATAATTTGCAGGTTATTAAAAGGTGAAATGATCAGTTTCATTTCCAACTGAAGTATCAGACAAATGATTTAGTTCTTATCTAGTCTTGAATTAAGACATACAAACTTTCCTTCGTAATTTTTTTTTTTTTAAACTTCTGTAATTTTTATTGATATTACTTAGCTGGGAATTTAGATTTGCTTTGATCTTTTAAATAATTGTGTTGAAGGAGATTTTGAAAATTTAGTCGCTACTGTCTGAAAAAATTACTAAGCTGATTCAGAAAGTAAGTACCATTTGTGCATATATCCTGCACATCTGACAGCACGAAGGTTGTGTATGCATAGTTCATCGTTCAGTTTGAGGACAAATTAGCCTAGCCATTTTATTTGTGTACATAAATGTTTGAAGTCATTGTTTGTCTATAATCATATTTAAAGCATCGATCAGCTCACCAGTTGTGAAATACCGTTATGAAGTTTATGAAGACTAGAAATATTCCAGCTTGGGAAATTTATTGTCAGATAAATATGTTTGTAATCATATTTAAAACAATCAATCAACCCACCAGTTGTGAAGTAATGTTATGAAGAACCATTATGAAGCTTTTGAAGACAAGAAATACAGATAAGTGAAACTTGTGGAGAGAATTTGATGAGTGAGTTACACTGTTTAGTGATGCAAAAGTGGGTTTAGTGAAGGAAGCGAAAATATCCGTGATGAAAAGTGCAGTGTCACCCTTCACTAATCACAGAAAAATTGGTGTGCTGCATCGATGTAAAAGCTTGTTTCAATAAGCAATTCACTATTTCTGATTTGACAATCCATTTTTAAAACATTTTATGATCTTTGTTACACAGAATTGTGATTGAACGTTTGCACTACAAAAAAAAATTGTCCTCACGTTGGTTACTAAAAACATTAATAAATATTAAAAAATGGAAACACATAGGAGTAGCCGTGGAGTTTTTACAGCATTATGCAACAGAAGGAAATTATTTTTTAAAGGAATGTCACAGGTGGTGAAACGGATTTATTATGAGATACCTAAAACGAACAACAGTCATTGGAGTCGTGGCATACTGGTTCGCTGAAACCCAAGAAAGCAAAGCCACCTCTTTCTTAAAAAAAAAAAAAAAAAAAAATAAATAAATAAATAAATAAATAAATTATATGTACCATGTTTAGGGGCTGTCAAGAAATTTGGTTAGTGGTCGGAATGGAACGACACACAACAGTCAGTGCTACAGCTTACTGTGGGATACTGAAGTAGTTACAGCACGTGATACAGAAGAAAAAGGCATTTACTACTGACTTTTGGTATTGTGTTCGTGCATAATTATGTGTGACTACATCCTGGAAGTGTAATGATGATGCTGCTTGATTCATTTCGCTGGGAACAACTCTGTAACCCTCCAAATATTATTCCAGACCTATCTCCATCTGTCTTCTATTTGTTTTCTGCTCTCAAGAAATATCTCATTGGCCAGCACTTTCCAAGTGATGATAAGATGAAGGTGAGCATCCAGAACTGGTTCAGGTCGTAGGCGGCCGAATTCTACAAAGTGGGTGTGTTGCAGTTAGTGCCAAGATATGCCACATGCCTTAAATCGCATGGTGAATCTGTATGTTATTTACTTTCTGGATGAACTTTGTATCTTTTAACTCTTACATATTCTAGGTAGCTATTAGTAGGCAAATGGATTAGACCACTCAGCACATGGGTTCAGATCTCAATGAATGGGTTTTCATGTTTTTTCTCATTGGTAAATGTAAATTCAAGTCAATTTCTTTAAAAGTTCTCCATGTGCACGTGCCTCCTCTTGCATTTATAGCCCTCATATACTAACTCTACTGCATTAGTTTAATTAACTAACTAACCATGAATTAATTGTAAATTCTATAAATTTAGTTAGGCATTTCGTTAACTATTTAATATAAAATATTTTTCTAGCATTACCTGAAATAATATGCAAATTTTTATTTTCATATTTAATTTATTCGTTCAGAGTTTGAAGTTCTTTCTGTTGCAGTAATAAAATAATAATGAAAGTAATTCAATTATAATTTAATTAAAATTTAAAAAAATTTCTTTAAAAAGGTCCAATCTAATGAGTCACAGTAAATAATCTTTATAAAATATCTCAGTGGTTATTTTCAGTATGTAATTTTATTTCAACAAATAGTTCCAATTTTTTTTTAGTTGAAGTTCTTATTTTTAATCAAATTACATTCAAACATAATTTTTTTTTTTTATTAATTTGAAATTACAAAAATGAATTTTTAAAAATATTCTTGCATTTTTTGGGAGTGGTTGGGGAAGGGCTTGTTTGGGTGGAGTTTTTTGGGTGCAGCCATCACATCCATGTGTGAAATAAAGAACAGCATAATTACTTGAAGTATTATGAAACTGGCAGAACTCTCCTTGAGCTTTTAATGCCTATTTTTTTTAATGCTTTTTATAATGGGCTCTCGCCCACCAGCGGCCGAGCGGTAAAGTCGCTGAACACTGGTAGTTCGGTTCGAGGTTCGAATCCCGCAAATGGGCTGGCTGCATGGGTGTTTTTGTAGTTTTCCCAATGTGTAATGTGTATACGAGCCAGTTTCCCTTAGAAAGTCCTCCACGAAGGCATCCTTCCCCCTTAGGCAGATAGCCTTCAAGGCTTTGCCGTAATTAAATAACCTAACCTTATAATGGGCTCTCGCTTTTTGTGTGCACATGCATATAGATACATAGGTAATTGAAATTTTTTCAGATAGGGGCAGATAGTATGTGCTAAAAAGCAATTATTTATTAAGATAATTAAATTTGAACACTTTGTTGATATTTTTTTTTTCACGGGAAGTTGAAACATATTTAAGGACATCAACTCGGTTAAAGCTAGTTTCAGCTAGTTCAGATAATTCTGTAGTTGTCTCTAGTCAAGAGAAATGGTTTCGTCAATGGGGAATTCGGGAAAAAGAATGCTGGTTGCGTCTCAATTTTTTTCATGTATGAGAATCTGTGAAAAGGTTTATTTTATATCTGCATTGAAAGCTAATGTATTGTACACGGATCTTAATAAGATATTTGAAAATTTTGGGGTATAAATTTGGCCTAAAATGGAGACAGTAATTTAAAGAAATGGGACCTGGGGCATGCGATAATGCATCATAACGTAATTTGCTCGTAATCAATACGTAATTTGCTCGTAGTTCGATCCTCACATATAACTTCTGTATGTGGTAAATAAAATACAACATCTTCTTTATTTGAAATGTCTTTAGCTGGTTTGATAATATCTTGCTTTAACTGATCTTCTAATGCATTTTGGTGTTCAAAAAATAGATTAGGATTTTTTTAAATCATTTTCTAAGTCGATTGAGTCTTGTTCTGCAATTTCCCTATTATCCTTTAGATTTGATGCATCACATTTCTAAGGTAATCTAACTTTGAGAATTTTTCATATGTTATATTTGATTTGAAATGTTTGATAACTTCATTTTCAATTGAGCAAGTTTTCCTTCTTTTCAAGAAGTCCTGAATTTTCCAAATCCCAGAATCTTGTTATTTGTTCCAAAGTAAAATCTCCTCCCCCAAATACTGCATTGAAAGTTAGAGACATTATCGTCGCCTTTTCATCTTTTGTTGGTTGTGCATTAGCACTGAAGGCGTAATGAGTACGTTTCCTCAAGCACAGAATTAAAGAATCATAAGTCAAAAGATTAAGTTATTTAATAGGATAATTCTGCTTAACTTAAGCATAACAATAAAGTAATAATCTTCACAAACATTAAAATTGAAGTATTCAAAAGAATAACTTACATAGTATCATCATCAGTACTAAATGTCATTAGGTTCACCTATATTATGCAATAAGAAAAATAAACAGGAATATACTTTGCCATCGTACCTGAAAGAGAAGAAAGTACTACTGGATTAGACCTTTGGCCAGGTACAAGTAGCTAGGGTGAAAATCAAATATTCTGCATTGCACACGAGCTTTACTTTCTCTCGCCAATATATACCTTGGCGCACGTTCGTTTCGTATGCCTTTCGAGTTTCATTATGCAAAATACCTAAATTTATGCTAACATTGCCCCTGTTTGCTAATGAAACTCATACCAATTGTAATTCATTCCTGCAAAACTGAAATTTAGCTTTAGGAATTGGTTTAGTCATAATATCAGCAACCATTTGCTCTGTTGAAAGAAGCAAGTTTTTACTATTCCTTTGTTATTCAAGTCGCGTATATGATGAACTTTTGTATCAATATGTTTTGTGCGTGAACTGAATTTTTCAGATTCTACAAGTCTTATAGTACACTGATTATCTTCAAATACCTTTATCAGTAGAGTTTGGGGTAGATGAAAGATTTTGTTAATCTTTGTTTTAATAGCCATAATAGTTCTTGCGTAGCTTGCGATGGTGCAACATATTCAGATTCTGCTGAGGATAAAGAAACACAAGTTTGTTTTTCTTGAAAACCATGAAATACAGCTCCTTCCTAATAA